TAGCTAACGCCAATAATGGAGATGAAAATGTAGTAATTAATCCAAAATGAGACCAGAAAAGGGCAAGAAAGGAACACAGCGATTATACTTCCAGATATATGCTCAAGAAAAATGAAAACATGTTTGTGCAAAAATTTGTGCATGAATGTTTATAACAGCCATAAGGTAGAAACAATCTGAATGTCCATCAACTGCTGAATGGATAAATGAAATGTGATACATATATATAATGGATATTACTTGGTAATGAAAAGAAATGAAGTATTGATACATGCTACAGAATGGATGAACCTTCAAAATATTATGCTAAGAGAAAGAAGCTGTTTACAAAGGACCATATATTTTATGATTCCATTTATAGGAACTGTCCAGAATGGGCAAATCTATAGAGACAAAAAGTAGATTATTGGTTACTTAGTATTCCAGGTGAATGGGTGTGGGAAAGGGTGAGTAACTGCTAATAGTTATGGAGTTTCTTTTTAAGTGATAAAAAGGTTCTAAACTTAGATAATGGTTATACAACTCCGAGTTTACTAAAAACCATTAAGTTATATACCTTAATGGGTGAAGCTTATGGTATGAGAATTATCTTTCAATAGATGTCAAAACCATTTTCAATAGCACTCCAAATCATGAAACATGCAGGGGTAAAATTTACAAAGTATGTATGTAGTCTCCTGAAAACTACAGAACATTGCTGGGAAAAGTTAAAGACTTAAACAAATGGAGAAATTACCCTATTCAATTACTGATGACTCAAAACTGTCTAGCTGCCATTCCTCCAAAGTAATCTATAGATTCAGTACAATCTCAATCAAAATCCCAACAGATTAATTTTTAAAGAAAGTCTATTCTGAAGTTTATATGGAAAAGCTAAGGGTCTAAAATTGCCAACACAATTTTGGAAAATAACAAAGTTGGAAAACTCACTGTATGGAATCTTAAGACTTAATATAATACTATAATAATCAAATTAGTCTGTTACTGAGATAAGGGTAAACATATAAATCAATGTTTATTGAATAATCAAACATCATTCAATATAGAACAGAACACAGAAGTAAACATACATATATAGTCAATTGACTTTTGGCAAAAATGCCAAGGTAACTGCATAGTAAAAAAACAGTCTTTTCAAAAATGGTGTGAAAGCATGAGATATCTATTTGGAAAAAATGTTCCTCTACCTCTACTTCATATCATACAAAAAATTTGTCTTGAAATGGATCACAGACTTAAATATATGTGTTAAAAGTACAGCCCATTTAGAAGAAAACATCTGTGACCTTAATTTAGGCAATGAATTCTCAGGACACCAAAAGGATGAACAGTAAGAGAAAAAAATGTCAAATTAGACTTAATCAAAATTAAAAAGTTGTGCTCTTCAAAAAGTATTATATGAATATGAAACAGCAAGCCACTAGTCAGAGAAAATATTTGAAATACATTTTTTGATAAATGTCCAAAATAAAAAGGACTCCTATAACTCAATAACACAATTTAAAAATGGGCATGAGATTGAAATATTACTCAGCCAGAAAAAACAATGAAACCTTGCTCCTTTGTGACAACATGAATGAGGGTAGTATACCAGATAAGTCAGAGAAAAATACCACAGGATTTCACTTACATGTGGAATCTAAGAAACAAATGAACAAGCAAAAACCCAGAAACAGGCTTCATAAATTCAGAGAATAAACTCATGGTTATCAGAGGGGAGGAGGGGAATGGGTGAAACAGATGAAAGGAATTAAGAGCTATAAACTTCCAGTTATGAAATAAATAAGTCTTGGGGATGAAAGGTACAGCATGGGGAATATAGCCAATAATACTGCAATAATTTTGAATCATGACAGAAGGTATCTACACTTATCCTGGTGAGCATTTTGTAATGTATATAAATGTTGAATCACTATGTTATACACCTGAAACTAATAGGTATGTCAACTATATTCTAAATAAAAAATAAAAATGGGCAAAACACATGAACAGGCATTTTGCAAAAGATACACATATGACCAAAAAATAAATAAGATGGTCAACATCACCAATCATCAAGGAAATATAAATAAAAACCACAATGAGGTGCCACTATATAAGTACTAGAATGGCTATAATTAAAATTGACAACACAAAGTGATGGTGAAGATGTGGAGCAACTGGAATTCTCATACACTGGTAGGAAGGCAAAATGGTATAGCACTTTGGAAAACAGTTTGGCAGTTTTGTATAAAGTTTAACATATGCTTACTATATGATCTAACAATTTCACTCCTATGTATTTCCTCAAGTGGAATGGAAACATACGTCCATACAAATACTTACACTCAAATGCTCCTGGCAGCTTTATTTATGGTAGTATGAAATGAAAACTACCCACATTTCCATTAACAGGTAAATGAATAAAACAAATCTTGATATATATTTTTCATAGACTAGAATATCAGATATGAAAAAGGATCACATTACTGTTTCACCAAGACCATGGCTAGATCTCGAAAGCATGCTAAATGAAAATAGCCAAGCACAAGAAACTGTATTGCATGAGTCCATTTAAATGAAATTCTAGAAAAGGCCAGACTCTAGTGACAGAAGGTAGACCAATGGTTCACTGGGGCAGTGGTAGGTAGAAGGGACTGACTGCAAAGTGGCGTGAGGAAATTTTGGGAGGCGATGCAAATTTTCTCTACCTTGACTGTGGTGGTTATTACAAAATTATATAATTTGCCAAATGCATCAACATGTACACATAACACTGGTGAATCATATTGCATAGAAACTATATCTCAAGAAAGCTGATTTAAAAAAGTAGAAACATCCAAGTAGACCTAAACTATTAAATAAATTACAATAGGTTAAAATCAGGCCAGTCTCACAGTTTATTCATATATTTACCCACTCATTCATTATATATTGAGTTCCTTAACTATACCAGGTCCTATTATACAGGCATTAAGGATAATGCAGCAAACAAAACAAGCTAAGTCCTTGCTTTCTTGGAGCTTATTATTGTTAGGGAGAAACACAATACACAAATGAAAGCTGATGCTAGTGATGGGTCCTATGTTGAAAAGTGATTATGGGAGGGGTAGGCAGAGGGGATGCTGTCTGTGGTCAGGAAGACCTCTTCTAAGAGATGACATTTGAACAAAGACTGGTTTGAAAGTAGGGGAAAAGCATGTCCTGACAAGGGAACAGTAAATGCAAAGACCCTGAACAAGGGCTGTGTTTGGAGTTTTCCGAGTACAGTCAAGGCAGCCAGTGTGGTTTGAGTCGGGTTGGGGAGGGGGGAAGAGCAAAAGTTGAGAGGTCAGAGAGGTTGCTGACGGCCAGAACATAAAAGATCTTGGAACTCATTCTATGTAAAATGGGAAGCTACGGATCTAAGTGTTCTAGGAGAGAAGCAACATGATCTGACTTGTGTTTAAAGACAGCTGTGGATAAAATAGGCCAGAGGTTGGGAAACTTTCAAGGACCAGATGGTAAATATTTTAGGCTTGTACACCGAATGGTCTCTGTGGAGACTACTCAGTTTTGCTGTTACCAAGTGAAAGCAGCCACAGGTTATGTGTAAATGAAGGAGTGTGGCTGTTTCAACAAAACTTTACTTACAAAGCAGAAAATGGACTGGATTTAATCCTGTACTTTGTTGTCCCCTGGAATAGACTATAGGGGACCAAGAGTGAAGGTGGGTACACCCAGTTGAAATACAATTCAGCAAGAAGTGACATCCCCCGGCCCAGGGTGGTACAAGGAGATGATGGCATGGGGGCAGACTGGGGTGTGTTGTGAGGATGGAGCCTAAACAAGATTTGCTGGTGAATCAAATGTAGGGGGTTAGAGGAGGTTTTTATTCAAATCGGAAGAGCAGTGTTCACTGGGAGAGGATGAAGTTTGGGGGCGAGGGAAGAGATTATAGATAAAAATAATTTGGACTTAGTTTGGGATATCTAGTAGATATCTACTTAATATATTGAGTTAGAGGATCTAGAGTACAAGAGAGAGGCTGGGTTTACAGAAATAAATTTCAGAGTCTTCATTTGTATAGAGGATCTGTAAAGCCATGGGAATGGCTGAGATCTAGGGAAACCTTATAGAGAATAGATGGGTTTGATGGCGGTTTTATAGATGGGTCTCCTGGATCTTCAAGGACAGATAATTCTAGTCTTATATTTACTGTTCCACCACTCTGGCCCTCAGTTCATGAGATCAGTGTGCCTTGACACCCAAATAAGATGAGGAATCCATAGGCCAAACTAACTTATAAGTTAAAAAAAGGCTTAAATACATTAGCAAAGCAAACCCAGAAGTTTATAATATGACCAAGTAGCATTTATCTCATGAATGCAAAATTGACTATTAGCCTGTTAATATAACTTACAACATTAACGGATTGAAGAACCACCCATGGTCATCTGAATAGAAAAGCATTTGATAACCATTCATGAATAAAAAGAAGAAAGCCCAGTTTTTAAAAGCAGTGTAGGCCCAGATGGGGACTTCCTTAACTTGACATCATACTTAATGGAGAAACATTAGAAGTACTCCTTAAAAAAAAAATTAGCAATGAAACAAGGACATCTATCATTATCATTTTATCCAATATTATACTGGAGGGCCTGGCCAGTGTAGTTGGATTGAAAAAAAGACAAAAAACTGCCACTATTCACTAACAATGATGATTTGCATAGAAAAGTCAAGATAAATTATTAGCAATAAGAGAATTTGTGGATACAAGGTCAATATATAATTCGACAGTGTCCTGTGGTCAGTGGTAATGGTTTCAAAACGTGGTTTTGGAGAGAGGTAATTTCCCTTGCCCAAGGTCACTCAGCTAGTAAAGGGTGACGTGGCTGAAAGTGGGCGCCCGCCTCCTGAGCCCAGACTTACAGTCCCGGGTTGTACTTCAGAGGAACAGCTGCGGTCCCATGTTTGTGTCCATTCCCGCCCGGAGTGTGAGGCCGGAGCAGGCAGTCTCCCTGCGCCGGGGAAAGGCTCACCATGGGTAGCACGGAGGCCTGGAGCGAGGCAGTGGTGATGGGCTTGCTCTTCTTGTCCTCCTGGTTTGCTGGGGGCAGGATCTCCACGAGGTTCATTCCCTCTTTGGCTTTCTCGCCCAAGCAAATCTGAGCAGGTGGAAAACAGAGCACCCATTCACCCCGAGGGCAGGAGGGAAACTGTCCCTCCCGCTTCTACCCCTTCTCCTCTTTTGGGGGTCACCCACCGTACTAAGCATCAGCTTACAGCCCTGCTTCCCCTCCTGCGGCCTGAGGGTGCACGTCCGCTTCTCCTGGGTGAGCTCACAGCCTGCGAAGGGCGACGCAGGCGGCTGGGGCGCGCAGGTTCAAGGGCGGCCCCGGTCGCTCCCCAGCCGCCCCTGAGCAGGGCCGCCGCCGCCCTGTCGGCCGCACTGCGGGTGCTGCGGCGCTGCATGGCGCGCCCGCGGGAGAGGAGAGGGCCCGGGCGGGCACCCGGGAGAGGGGCTCCGGGGCAGCGGGCCGGGGGCCTCACGGGGGCCGCCCGCGGCCGGCTGCTGGGAGGCCCGGGGGCGCGGACCGGGAAGCGGCCACTCAACCTGGAAGAGGAGGCGTTTCCCTCCAGCCGCTTCCTTTCCTGCCGCCCTCCGCCTGCGCCCCCGGGGCACCTGGAGGGCTTGTTAAACCGCTCGGGGTCAGGCCCCGCCTCCGCCGCTTCCGAAGGCGCAGGTCTGGGTGGGGCCGAGAGGATCTGCATTGGTAACAGGCGCCCAGGTGAGGATGCTGCTGCCGGCCGCGGGGACTCACCCAGGCCGGCCTCGCGAGGCCGCCCGGCGTGGAGACGCTCTGCCAGCCCGTAGGAAGCAGCAGCGCTGGCGCCCCTTCCAGCTCAGGGCCTGCCTTCCTGTGCTTGCCCGACCCGCGGAGTGTGGGCTTTTCCCAAGGCCCCGAGGGCCGTGGTGCCCAGAGAGGAAGAGCCTTGTTTCTAGAGGATGATCCCGCACCCCCACCGCCGCCACCCGGCCAGGCAGCTGTGCGGATGAGGCGGCGAAGGAGAGGCAGCCGCAGGAGCTGGCCAGGAACACAGCGCGTGGCACGTTCACAGGGCACACTGATGCATTTAAAGGTTTGCGTGAGGGCAGGTAGTGAAAAAGTAGGCGCTCCACCTGACGTCCCTGCTCCTGACACCTGGGTGTCAGAAATAACCAGGGGTCTCTCTGATTGCATTCTTAGCCCTCGCAGCCCTCCTGGAAACGTGTCATCCACGTGTGAGGTTCAGTGCTTTTCAACAAAGGTGCCAAGGTAATTCAACAGGGAAGGAGAGCCTTTTCTAAAAATCTGCTGGAGGAACTGGATCACTCTCTCTGGAAACCTGCTTGGAATTTCTGCTGCTCAGGAAATCAGGTTTTCTCTTTTTAAAATATCCATTCTATTGAGAAGTAATTTATATACAAAAAATGCGCTCAAAGTATATAATTTGATGAATTTTCACAAATGTATACACCTGTGTAGTCACCGCCACAGTTGAGTTATAATTTCCATCCCGCCCCCAAGTTTTGTTTCCCTTTGCGGCAATGTCCTTCATCCTTTGCTATAGCCTAATTGGCATTATATGTTTCTGATGGTTTAGATTAGTATCAACTGTTCTAGAATTTCATCTAAGTAGAATCCTACAGGGTCTTTTTGTCTGCCATCTTTTGCTGAACAAAATGTGTTTGAGATTTATTTATTTGTGTATATTGTTGTATCAGTAGTTTGTTTCTGTTTAATGCTGAGTATTCCACAATTTGTATATTCAGTCACCCGCTGGTCAGTTTTATGTGTCAACTTGGCTAGGCTATCATACCCAGTTATTCAATCAAACACTAATGATGGTGTGGCTGTGTAGGTGGTAATCTACAATCAGTTGACTTTATGTAAAGCTTGCCCTCAATAATGTGGGTTGGCCAGAATCTAAATGGTTGAAAGGCCTGAAGAGCAGAACTGAGGTTTCCTTGAAGAAGTACTGCCTATGGACTGGACCTTCAGCTCCTGCCAGAGTGTTTCCAGCATGCCCTTCCTGACAGCCTGCCCTGTGGATTTGAGACTCCCCCAGCCAGGCCCCATAACTGCATAAATCAATCCCTTGTGCTACATCCCTGACAGATACATGAGTTGATGGATATTTGGGTGGTTTCATTTTAGACTACTGAGGATAAAATGAAGGTTCCTGTGGCCAGGATTCTCACCTGGCCATAGTTGGCTAGCTCATTACCCATATGTGAGCAATACATTGTTATTGACTTTATATAAAGAGCCCCGCCCAGTGCTCTGCATGATACCGTGGCACAGCTGCAAGGCTGCAGGAGAGCAGAGAAGAGACTGGAGTGGTGGCAGCACCGAGGGCAGAGACTGAGACGGCTTTGTGGGCAGAGAGGCCCAGAGGCAGAGACTGGCTTGCTGCATGCAGACTCACTCTGAGTGGACGGGATTCTAGTGATTGATCTGCCACCTTAGGAATAAAGTTAGGTATAACCCTTTCACCCCAAGAATGTTCTGCTGTCACTTCTTTGGTCACATTGAATCCATAGTGAACTTGTCCGGGGGTGAAACCCATTGGCAAGAAAATTACCAGGAATAAAAATGCTATGAACATTTGAGTGCATGTCTTTGCATGGACATATGTTTTGTTTTTTCTTGGATGAACTCCTAGGAGTGGAATTGCCGGATCATTTGGTGAACACATTAAACTTAATGTGTAACTATAAAACTGTTTTTCAAATTCCTGTACCATTTTGTATTTTGACTAGCAATGTGTAAAAATTCCAGTTGCTCTACCTCTTTGACAACACTTGGCATTGTCAGTCTTCTTAATTTTAGCCATTCTAGTGGTTGTACAGTTAACCCTTGAACGATGTGGGGTTGGAGTACTGATCCCCCTCACAGTTGAAAATCTGTGTATAACTTTTGGCTCCTCCAAAACTACTTACAGCTTGCTGTTGACTGGAAGCATTACTGATAACATAAAGTCGATTAATATGTATTTTGTATGTTATATGTAGTTTATACTGTATTCTTACAATAAAGTAAGCTAGAGAAAAAAAAATTCTGTCAAATTGCGCAAATCTCCCCCCAATTTTTCCAACATATTTATTGAAAAAATTCACATATAAGTGCACCTGCATAGGTCAAACCCATGTTGTTTAAGAATCACCTGTATATAGTAATATCTCTTGTGCTTTTTATTTCTCTCTTTGATGACAAGTGATGTTGAGCATCTTTTCAATTATTTATTGGTTATCTGTATATATTTGCAAGATACCTGTTCAAGTATTTTGTCCATTTTTAAATTTGGTTATTTGGGTTATTCTTATTGAACTGTAGGGGTTCTTTATGTATTTTGGATACCTGGTTTGTGTCGAGTATATGTAATACTAAAATTTTCACTCTTGACTATGGTTTGTCTTTTCCTTTTTTAAAGTGGTATCTTTTCAAGAGCAGAAATTAAAAAAATTGATGTCCAAAATTCTTTCTTTCATGGCTCATACTTTTAGGAAATCTTTTAGGATATTTTAGGAAATCTTTGGTTAATTTTAGGTCATTCAAATTTTCTAAGTTTTCTCTTAGAAGTCTTGTAGTTTTAGCTTTTACTTCTACATCTGTGGTCCATTTGGAGTTAATTTTTATGTATGATGTTAGGTAAGGCTTGAGGCTCTTCTTTTTTCCCCCCAAGTGGATATCCAGTTCCTCCAGCACAATTTCTCTAAGCACCACACTCTCCTTTCTCTATTAATTACCTCTCTCTATTGAAAATCAGTTAAGCATATGTGTCAGTCTGTCTCTGGAGTTTATTCTGTTCCATTGGTCTATCTGTCCACTCTAGTGCCAGTAGCACAGCCTTGATTACTCTAGCATTTATAGTAAATCTTGAAATCAGGTAATTGAGTCCACCAACTCATTTCTTCTATTTCAGAAATGTTTAGGCTCTTCCGGATTCTTTGCATTTTCATATAAATTTTAGAATCAGCTTCTATAAAAAATATTTTGGAATTTTGTTGAATGTATAGTTCAGCTTGGGGAGAAGTGACGATTTTGAGTCATACAAACCATAAACATGTCAAAATCTCTTCAGTTATTTAAATCTAATTTTCCTCAGCAATGTTTTATAGACTTTAGTATACAGATCTGGCACATATCTTTTTAAATTTATACCTATGTATTTCATGTTTTTGGATGCTATAGAAAATAGTACATATTTTAAGTTTTCATCTTCTAGGTTTTATTTTTAGTATATAGAAATAGTTGATTTTTGTATATTGACCTCATATTCTATGATTGTACTAAATTCATTTATTAGTTCCAGCAGCTTTTTTGTCCCCCAAATCATGACATCTGTGAATAAAGACAATTTTATATCATTCTTTTTGATTTTTGTGCCTTTTATTTTTTTGTGCCTATCTGCTCTGGTTAGGACCTCAGATACAATGTTGAATAGAAGTGGTAAGAGTGGGCATCCTTTTCTTGTTCTGAATCTTAGGGGGAACATTTAGTCTTTCACCTCTAAGTTCACTGTTGGTAGTAGGGTTTTCATAAATATCTTTTAACAGGTTAAGAATGTTTCTTTCTCTTCATAGGTTGCTGAGAATTTTTATCATGACTGAGCAGTCCGTTTTGCCATGTGCTTTTTCTTCAGCTGTTGAGACTACTGAGATGATCAGGTTTCTCACATTTATTTTGTTTATATGGTGAATTCCATCTATTGGTTTTTAAAAGTTTTAAACCAACCTGGCATTCCGAGGATCAGTCCCACTTGGTCATGATGATTTATCCTTTTTATACATTCCTGGGTTTGATTTGCTTGTATTTTGTTAAGGAGTTTTGCATTTATGTTCATGAGGATATTAAAGTTTTTTTCTTTAACTATCTTTGTCTAGTTTTGGTATCAGAAAAATGCTTATCTCATAAAATGTAGTGTTTCTTTCATTTTCTGATTTTTTGTGCAACTTCGGGTGCCCTGCTTGCAGGAGCAGGGGAGTCTCCTTGGATCAGAGCTCTGGTCAGTCTCACCAAGCCCGCTGCTTTCCTCCCTATGCTGTCCCATGCTTCCTCTATCTTGACTCAATTGCTGCCCTATCTGGAACCTCGGAATCATACGACATTTCTCTTCCCTTTATTCTCCCATCCAACCGGTCACAAAGTCCTGTTGATTCCCCCATATTTCTCAACTCTCTCTCCGTAGCCCTTATCTTGGTTCAGATCCTTATTACTCACGAGCTAGGGTTAAACAAAGCTTGGTTGCCAGGGTGCTCACTGCATATAGGGAAGTACTTTCCCTCTAGCCGTGCTATTTTTGCAACTCCTAGAAAGGTGCAGGATGTTTCCTGCCTCAGTGCGTTTACACTGCCTGTGCTCTCCGCTTCCTTCTTGGGCGGGGTCATTCTACCAGGGCTTTGCTCAGGAGCTCCTCCTTCGTGCTCTCGGGGTACTCTGAGCCGCACAGGGTATCCTTTGTAGCTTTGCTCATTCCACTGACTTCGTCCCAGCCAGGGACCAGGCCCTTGAACAGGGCTTCTATGAGTACCACCTCGGGCACTGGGTGAGGCCACGGTGCGTGTGAACTCACGCCTCTACAGGCACAGATTCGGAGGGTCCGAGGCCTCAGCAGCCGGCCCATTCCCGGCTCGCCCAGAAAGACCGCGCCGCGAGATCCGAGAACCCAACTCCCCCTCCGGAGCCCAGACCCGCTAGCCCGTCCACACAGGCCGGGGGCAGGACTGCGCCTGCGCAGGACGGCGGCCGCGCCGAGACTCGTCTGACAAACGTGCGGGCGCGCGCACGCGCGCAGCAGGGGCGCGGCAGCTTGCTGGGGAGGCGGTGCCGGGGTGGTGTCCGCGGCTTCTGCCCT